CCTCTACAAGTTTGAGAGCTCGTAAGTTAGGAGAATCTCTGAGCACACGAATAAGTAAATTCACCCATTCTGTCTCACATGTGCATAATGTTAAATGTACAAGAGAGCAGAATATACCGCCAACGGGATACGCATCCTGCACATAACATTATAGTGCAAGCATTGTAGTGTCAATAGTTTTGATCAATAATATAAAGAGTAAAAAGCATATATTACCTCTGAGGCTGGTATACAGAAATAAAGACGCTTGGCTGAAATAATAGAATCCATGATTGTCTTCCAAGGTTTCCAGTAATTAACGACAAGATTTGCTTTGACAATCTTAGTCATATTATTCTCAATGACACAAAACCCATGCGAATGATCAGTAATGTCCACATATTCCAAAGAAGGAGCATCTATCACATACCCATGACTATCGTATTTAACCTTTTCGTCTGATCTAATCAAGACTAAACTCTTTAGAGAAGGCACTCTAATGCTCAAAATGGGTACATTGTCATCTGGACTTTGCTCCACAACCAAATCTTCAAGAATAGGACAACCAGATAAAAGCCTCTTGACAAATTCATCACTCGGGTACTTGATTAATCTAAGATTCAACTTTTTTAGGGATGGGAAAGAAATCAAAGAAGAAACATGTTCCTGAAGAACCATGTTCCTTAGTTTCAAGGCCACAAGCATTTTGCAGTGTGTACAGATGCTCCTTGGAAGTGTGAGTGGAGATGTATCAATTTTCTCGACAATCAGCTCACGCACACCGCGTTTATCTATAGCTCTAATCCACACTTGTATATCTCCAGTACGACCACTATGTATTTTTGAGAGTTTGAAACGCAAAGTTTCTATAACAGGAGCCTCGTGCATCAACAAAGACCTGTTTACAAACCGCGAAAAGTTTCCATACTCGATATTTTGATAGCTATCATCGTATATAAGTTTTGGAACCATTTTCCAAAGAAATTGCCACCGTTTTGACAAAAGCATTGTGTCCACGACATGTTTCGCAGACAGATACGACAATATTTGCAAGAGAAGCTCATCATGCAACCCGCTTATCCTGTCCATAACTAAGAACTAATAACCTTAATTTTTTCTAAAGTCCAAACCTTTCAGCTTCCGCATAAATCCCGAAACCTGAAAACATTAAAAATAAAAAGGAGAGAAGAGGACGTCAAGACGGGTATATGAGATTCTCAGGAACCAAAACGAAAACAGAGAGAGATACATAACAACTCACAAATAGAAAGGAGACGAAATCTCAACTCTTTCACAACCATCAAGACATCAAATATTCGTAGAAATTCACAGAATATAAACAAATACCTAGAACCTAGGTTCAAAAAAACATACCTTCGTTAAAAACAAAGAAAGATAATGACTTGTTATTCATTATCCTATATAAATAAGAGACTCAGGATCCTGAGCATAGGCCCAAGAGGCATGGGCTTGGATACCCAAAATTTTTTGATTTTTTAATATTAAAAATAGGCCTCCAAATTTTTTTTTCTTTAACGAAAAGACCCCCAAATTAAAAATTTATCTATAAACCCCCTAAATTTTTTTTTGTTTAGGGTCTCCAAAATCTCAGGACCGGCCCTGACGAGATATACAAGATAATTAATGATTTTTTCTTCATTAGCTCGTATATAAGAAAATAATTTTAAAAGAGACTATACCCCATCCGATTTATTAACAAAC